TAGGGCACCGTGAATCGTCGATTAGCGCCGCAGCGAATCGTTTCAGACCGTAAAATAGTGAAGGGCTAGACTGGGATCAGGGCGCATCCCAACGGGGGGACATGATGGGGGGATGCGGTGTGATAGACGGTGGGGGAGCAAGTCGCAGATCTTGAAATACCGATGATGTGACTTCAGCGTGTCTCGTGACAAGCTAACAGGGAGGCAACACAGCTTGTATGTTTAGCTTGAACACGCTGTTCGATACTTCTGAGACTAGGGGAAAGAAGGCCCAAATGACACGCAACGACAATAACAAACGTGACATAATGCTTTCATGCCGTTCTCTTTTGACTGGAAATGATAGGTCGTCAATTAACACGAGCGACTTGGTCGAGTGACTACGCGCGCCGACCGGCAGCCCGCCCGGCCCAACGCTGACCATATGGCACGCAATTTCTGCACAAAACCCGCCCGTGTTTGTTGTGTGTGTTCTTAGAGTTACCGCGGTAATAGGCCAAAGGACCATATTTGCTATACAGGAACACTGGCTAGTAATGGCAAATGAAAAGAAAACACGGCAGAATAGCTTAGCATTTATTCTGGGGTGAAATTTATGATGGATGATTACGCAGTGTTGTCGTTAATGCGCCGTACACGGAGTCTGCAGACACGGCGTGGATGCAGGGGAAGAGAGGTCCGGATCGGTCGGCTTGAGATGGAGGGAAAAAAATGGACAAAACCGTTGACTGATCTTTAATATTGCCTAGCCTGTGGTCATGAACATGTGTCAGGGAAATACTAACAGATTCAGGCACAGTTGGGAACACTTTTCGGCTTGCTTGGGTTTATCTCTCTCTATTTCTCTCTGCCTGCTGCGCTGGGCACCTTGAAAGTCGAGCCGTTGCGTCGGAAGTTGTCCTTCATGCAAGGATGAGTTTGGAGAGAGTATTGACTTCAGATATTTCGTCATCACCATTTTGATCACCTGTCGCGATTAATTACAAAACGGGAATCTTTTCGGTACCACAGACAAATAACTGATCTGCTGTCAAGAAAAAAAAATGAAGGAAAATTGAAAAGAAACTGGGAAACAATGACAAAACAGAAGCAAATTTCCTGAGTGACATTTAAAATGCCAATTGAACGAAAATCAATAAATAACAGATAAGAATAGCGTCCGGGGAAAATTATTTTTTTCATTCAATTGCGATCCTAAAAATTCCCACAACCTTAAATATCATTATCAGATCGAACCAGTGCGCTCAACACAAGACAAAAGCTGAAAAATTAAACGATTTTGAAGAGCTCTCGACTCCATACTCAATCTTGACATTGCAACGGTAGTCTTGAGTGCGATCGGAAGAGTAGGCTAGAGCGTTGCTACGCTTCGGGCTCAATACTCAAGTGCGATTTCCGATGCCTGTCAAAAGCTCTCACAACGAACTAAACGCCTTGTTTTGGAGACTATATAGTAGGTATACGTCTGATTGAGTCTGTGACATGAAATGATAAATGCACTAGATATTATTACAAATCAAGAAGATATCTACATTTTAAAATGACACTTTGAAAGCCTCATAATTATGTTAAATTATTTTTGATGGGCACAACAGTCTGGCAGCGTGTGACATGAAGCTTTTTTGAAAAAGGTAAAATAAAAATGAAAACAGATTGAGATTTGATTGGGAGACAGTCGAACTTGATAAGGCAATTGAGTCGGCTGGCCAGTAAGAATCGGTCAAAATCATGTTCATTATTTGACTAGGAAAGCTATGGAAACTCAAACAACGAACGTAAATTTCCGTCGCCACAATGTTTCATCAGTTGTGTTGTTGTCAGGTTTCAGTCTTCATTACTTGTGCCGCATTGTAAATTGCTTTTTAAACCCAAAGCCAGTGCCGACAAGGTTGGACAGTCACGGTGATGGACTTCCGAAAAGGAACGGTCCAGATTCCTTTTAACCCTTTTCGGTTGGAGGTGGGGTTTTTTTTTATGAGAGAACATCAATTTCTGAATAAGGATACCGTTGAGAGTGAATGTTTTGGAGGTAAGGATCTGAAGCCTTGTCTACCATTGGACGAAAATTATTGAAGATTTGTGTGAATGAAAAATCCACAAAATCAAACAAAACCACTTGAGGTGTAGGCCTACATTGTACCTATGCATGTATTCAGTTAGCGTTGCTGGCGCTAAATTCCTCATTATTTATAAACGAATTAAGTTAGTGGTAAAAATGACCTGCTCAGTTTTGCTTGACTGTTGCTACTTGACAAGTTCATGTTTGCACTGTTTGTTTTGAATAAATGTTCTCCATGGGAAACAGCTTCTTTGCGCATGCGGATAGCGCCACTGCAAACTTGCAGACACTCGGAGCGGCCTGGCTTAGATCAAAGACAATGAAATACATGTAGCCGTACATCATGAAAAATGACATGAAGTGTTCGGTTTCACTAGTTTTATTTGTCTTCAATCTTCAGCGTGTACTCTGAGTGTTTCAGGGTTATGGGGCAGTGCCATTGGAAAGCATTCCCAAACAGAAGTTGACAGGTTTTTCCCATTCATTTTTGGATGGAATGCCGAAACGAGTTAATCGATAAATTATTTCACTAGCAGGTGCGGTGTCAGGGGGCTCGTGCGGTGGGGTAATAGTCAGAAATGAAATACTTCGAAACAAAACATTGATTTTTCCTCTCTTCGATTGATCATAATTATTAAGATGTCAAACATTATTTGATACATTTTAGAAGTGGCATTTACCACTAATCTTTGGGGATGAAGGAATGATTAACAGGAGCTCCGTATTGTATTTCAAAAAGAAGAAAAAATAGGTCAGAAAAAAGACATCGTCAAGTAGTTTTCCAATACCAATAAGCATATTTACATGGCTTACGAATATACTAATGGACATTTCAATCTAATAATTTTTAAACTCCGTCCAGCCGTCTATCAATTGCATATCATGTTGTAAAACTGGAAACAAACACGATGTTATTCTCATGATATTTAATTTTGACGTTAAATGTTTATGAAAAAGGCCGATAAAGTCTCCACAAGGGATACAAAAGCTGAATGAATGTATTTGAATGTTAGAACAAACCTTTGGAATGAAACTTTTGACGGCACTCACATTTCGCAAACACAGCTTGCTTCGCAGTTCCATGCGAGTTTAAATTTCAAAGCCATAGTAACTCTTAATGGTAGGCCTATAGTTCATAGTGATTGGTTGCGGTACCCGCTGCTATATCAGATTCGAACCAGCCAGCCGGTCCCGGCAAGCTCGGTGGTCGAGTTGTAAGACGTCTGCACTAGTAAGCAGGAGGTCGTGGGTTCGAGGCCACTAGTGTAAGCTTGTGAATTGTTCTCGCAAACCATCGGACAACACCGAGAATGCTGCGTGTGTATAAAACTACGTCGATTTGAAAGGCACTGTCCCTTATAAATTAAGACTGTACAAACTCAAAAACAATACATGCAACAAGTTTTGGCTAAGTTGTGTAAGCGTTTGTCTGCAGCGTTTATACTCTCACCCTTTCGACTCGGTATGTTGGTGATTGAAACTTTGAAGTGTGGCCCAGATCTGGGGTCTCTTTGAGCGATAACACCGATATCCAGGATCCGTGGTAATGTCAGAGGGTACACGGTACGGCACGCCAAGCGTGCGTCGCGGGTATTGCACCCCGTGAGGTTCCCGCTGCGCATCGCTTGTCATCGCTAAGAAATCATCTCGTGGAGTCCGCGGCCCAAAGCAACCATCATCATCAAGCGGTGCCGCTCGGCAAAACACCCCGATGAAAGATGAACAATTCTCGACCCTTTGTCCGCAAAATATGTAAAACTGTCAAGTGATTGCTTGAACGGGTCATATAATAAAGATAAATCTTTGGATCTTTTAAACTGTCCACGAGAACAGAAATGCGCTCGCTTTTGGTTTTATTTGATTTGGTTTGATCTGTGGGAAGGATTGTTTATTTATATTCTCTGAGAGTGGGACCTCTTGAAGATATATCAAAGATCTACGCTGAAAAAGTCTTGCTGTAGTTTTCAGACATATATACTTGAAGTTGAAGCTATGAGCGTTTCTGAATTAACACGATTTTCCGCAAATAAAATTCTAGATTTGCGTCAGGAGTGCACAATGCGTTTTAATTTGGAATATAGATAATGATCGATTTTTGATATCTTTTATAGTCGCCCACTCAATCACTCGCTTTCAATTATAAGATCATCCCATTTTTACCAATTCTCTACGGCTTGATTTTACGGAAACATGCATCAATTGGGCAGAAGTTGAATTAATTTCCATGACAATGGAGGCTTATCTTAGATTTCTAAAAGAATATTAATGTTTGCCACAATACGGTTAGTTTGAATGTCAAAACAACACACGTGCTGTAACGTGTTTCATCTATTATTTCCCTGATAAAATCGATTCAAACGTCAGAGCTATTTAAAATCTCTTACCAATATAGTGTTTCACACGAGGAATAAATATTTGATATCAAGAACCACTAGATCACTTGTTACGAATTCTCTACTTGGGCCTACACCTGTGGATTTGGTTAAATCTATATATAGGATATACTCATAACACCAATTGTTCAAATCACACGAATGACATGGATATGTAATACGGCAGTGCGCACTATGTGGGAACATGGAGGTATGAAATGTGGGAACAACCGCACGCTGTTTGCCATTACAAACATGCTTGGGTGTATGGTATCATACTCCGCACAAGATGTGTAAAAATGTGTTCATACATGGTCTCGTGCGTGTCGAGTAAATTCGCTCTCATGAGGAGTGGTTCTAGTCAACATTTCCGCGGTCTTGTTTTGTTTCAGGGTGCATAGTGCATGGACCTCATCTTGCTTGCGGTCGGACGACGGCGGACAGATTCTGTTTGTTTATCAACAAATGTTTATTTACTATTCAAGACTGGCTCAATTATGCAAAGTAGGCGTGAAGTAGTCGGGATGATCCCTGGCGCTCGACCGTAGCCACCGAGCGGCGCAAACCTTGTGTCATCATCCCACCACAGCCAAGACACCGACTTGATGATATTTCGAGTGAAATTGATCAGAATAAAAACACAAGCGGTGCAGATTGACGCCTCCTATTGGTCACAGCGGGCATTCCATGCATACCATCTTGCCATATTTGGATATGAGTAGGCGTGGCTTAGTACGCTGATTCGCTGTCATGGTTTCCACGCGGGATCGGAGCTAGCGGCCTACGGGGATTCAAGTCCGGGGGGAGGGCGGTGCGTACGTACGCTCAACAACCAGCACTCGATGGGAACAAAAGGGATCCTCAAGAGAAAACCCCAAACCCCCCACCAGAAGTCAGCTTGCCCGTCGCTGCTAACTGAATCCAGGCCCTGTGACTTGAAGGTGTCCCTACGTGTATACACACAGTGTGCAGTGTGTTGTATGTATACACACGTTGTGTGGGGTTACTCACGTGGCCAAACCAACGCATAATAGGCGCACAGTCGTGACACATTGCACGGACGCTTGAATTTTCTCCGATGACTGTTATCTGTTCCATTCACATTGGGTCGTGCACTATCAAACCATCAACATTGTATTAATATAAATATATATTTTCTCGGTCAGTGTACATATGCAGTCGGTGGTGGTAACAAGTTCAACAGTGCACACCCTTCCTCTCAGACCAAACCCACACCTTAGTACATGACACCTGTGCGATAGTTTGGAGCGATCAGACACTACGACTAGGGGGATGCTTGTAAGACGTGCCAGTTTCCAGTCACGATCCTGTAAGATTCTCACTTACCACAACCATTCCCCACTTGCCGGACGAATGATGATAAGCCTGGGTGTCCCACTCTGATGCTGATGTGAACTCTGGCGTGCACTGTCAAGTACTGAAGTCATTCAACCCCTTTGGAGTGTTAGCTTGAAGCTTTGGTCTTTGAGTCTCTCGCACAGCGAGGCACGCGCCCTCACACCGTCCACTATTGACCCGGTCTATACGGGCTTATTACTCCACATCATCCCTGGATACTTTGCCCCTTTCTCCCCTCCGAATTCCCCCTCGTACCTCCACCAGTAGGCCAAACATCGTGTGTGTTACTCCTTAACACCAGCATCTCGCCACCCAAGCGCCGGTCGAGACCACTGGGTCCTTCCCTGGCTGCGTTTCTGCCTGGCTACGGTACACCTCCAAGTGGTCGTTCATGTTTGGAATCCAAGACTCCCTCACAAGAGGCACAACAAACCTCAAGGAAGAACCCTCGGGGACGGCTCAAGTAGGATCCATACGAAGTTGGATGCAGCCGAGCATGGTGGAACAAGGGTCCAGGTAAACTCACAGCTCTCTCTCTCCCTGGACACTTTATCTCTTTTCTTCTAAATCTCATCACCTTTCTTTCTTAATCTTATCACTCCTGTTGGTTACTCCTGGGATGCTGTGCATCTAGAGGAAAAATAGATTTTACTGTCACTGTGTCCCCCCTTCAGTTTGTCAATGCACGCAGCGGTGACAAGCACGTAGCTTCAGTAGTAGTCTCACAGCGCGTGTTGCAGCGTGCGTGCTCGCCCGTGCAGTACTCGCGATGATCCCGTGCAACATCGCAAACCGATTACCGAAGGGAAAACAAATTTACCCAGGCGACCCGTTGCCAGGTCCTTGGGACCCAGGCAGGTAAGACCCCCGACTTAGGTCACTAACTCGCGGTAATTTCCCCTTCCGCACTTTCTCCCCAGCGTGTATGTCTGTGTCTTGCTGTGTCGATCACTACATTTTTTCCCCATCTTGTGTGTTTTCCACTCTATCCTCTCAGCTCCTGTGGGCTGGCTCGGGCGCACTTCGAGAAACAACCGCCCAGTAATCTCCGAAAGAGTAATTTCTTTCATTTCGTCATCGCTCTGTACGATCGGGCCGGACAACCGGTGGAGATTGAGCGAACACAATTCATCGATTTCATCGAGAAAGAGCGGGTAAGTTCATGTTTTATTTCTGAAAAAAAAAAATCCACAGTCATGAGGTACAATGTAGTTCACTTTCATCAATTTACATGCATGACGCATAGTTTCTCTGCCTGTACACAACAAGCTACACAATCGAAACCAAAAGCTCATTTCTGAATTCCATTCCTCTTCCAGATTCTTTATCGATATCCAAATAAACCTTGGTTTCTCTCCTCAGATTTGTGTTTACCAAATATTGTCCAAACCACGCTTTAAAGATAATCATCATGGTTTCTAACAAGGGTCGCATGTGTTACAAACCACGATCTTCCTTCCATCTTTGTCCCTGCATCTTGCCGCCTGATCCCCGCCGTAATGGCCGGGCAGACCCGCTCGACGACGCACGCTGCAAAATTATGGAAACAAATTCCCGTTCCAAGGACTCCAGGTTTACCGGGTCGGCCGAGTTTGCGATCTTTCGATCGGAAGTCTCGTCTTGCGACTAATAATCACCGATATTTGGCAGCTGAGAGCACAAGCCACAGGGCATGTCGATAATGCTCTTGCCTCTGTCTGCCTTGCGCGTCGTGTAATTTCTTTTACAACCAAATTAATTTTCCTCGCTTGGAAACATGAATCCTTGATTCACCGATGTTCATGCTCATCTAATTCCCTGGTTTCATTTGCAGGAACCCGACAGTGCTAAAACCAACAATGGAATCCACTACAGGTTACAACTGCTCTACAACAACGGTAAGTTTATGTAATTATTAATTTTATTCAGAAATTATTTTATTAATTCGGAAATTAAATCCCTGAACGAATACTTACCTCGCAAATATCTTGGAAAAATTCACTGAATTGTTCTGTAGAAAATATTTATGATACATAATGTAACATTCTAGACTCAGAATAAGATTGTTGAATTTGTAAAGACAAAAATGAGTATGTGAACCGTTTTGAAAGAAATAGACAGTATTACTGTTAGAATGCAAAGCCTCACAATCAAGCCATCAAGTATCCAAGAACTACTTGATGTGGTTGCTTCATCACTCAGTTAGAACGACGATGATACACTAATTTACGGGGAAAAAATTGAATCAGATCAAGAAATGCTGGCAGCAGTATGATGTCATGTGCGATGTCTTGGATGTTCCTCCGTCATATTTCGATGATCCTGAGTGCAGAAAGGAATCAGAAATTGAGAAATCAAGGCCTTTCATTTCCCGCGTTCATAGTACGGGATTTCCCTTCCCCGACTAAACCATGTAGCGCGTATATAGTGACAATTTAATCACTGGCCGACCGTGGCTAGCTTGTTATTCAATTTAGGAGGCGAATGGGGCCCCATCTCCCGCTAAAATAGGATTAGTCAAACACCGATACAGCCATATTCAGGGCACTCCACGTTGAACACGTTCATCATACTGGTTATGTCCTACTTCGAACAGCGAAAGAAACTGCCGATTTTTATTTCTTTTATACCGGACAGGCGTTAACCGCTCCGGGAAAACACTCGCCGGACCGTAAATCTTTCGCATGGCCTGCGGGGCCTGAGTCGCTCACGGCCGGCCGGCCTCGCTCCTACCGTACGCTGACCCACTACGTATAATACTCCACAGCAACACAAAAACTGCAATAATGCAGTACATGTGATATGCTTATTTTAATAAGTGCACTTGAGTGCGAGTTGCCAGGCCAGGGAGATTGGATTGTACTTGATGCCTGACTGAACTCGTTATCATATCTGATGCGGGAAGGCGCATTACTACTGATTAGAAAGATCAAACTACCATTAGCAGATTGCAGCTTTGGATACAAACGCTTGAAAGGACCAAAAACAATCAAATATTCAATTAATTCCCAGGGTGTCTGCGAAAAAAAGGCCTGAATTTGTTTATATATGAACGTTCCAATGATTAACTTGCTCGATTCTTTTTGGCCTATATTCTGAGTCCTGATCGTAATATCTTTGCTTTATCTATTAAGGCCTATGCGTACTTTTCAAATAGTATAACATTGAATCAAAAACGTTCATGAAGAAATAGATACTCCAAACTTACGAAATCTGACACTTTCACAGTTTTTACCTAGATTAGTATTCTGACCCTTCAGATCTACTCACTGAAAGCTTGTAAGACGAAACAATCATGGATATTTTTTGCCTTGCTTTAAATCTGAAACTATTCTATCTCAACGTCGTGAGTTAAAGTAATAACCAACATACCACCCAATGCGTAATATGCAGCGTGTTATCGTGAATAAAGAAGTGAATCATGTGCCATTAATGACTTGAAAGAAGTAACTTAAGTGCCTAATTTCATCTTTTCTTTAATATCATTTGACAGGTGCCAGGACGGAGCAGGATTTGTATGTTCGACTTATCGATTCCATGACAAAACAGGCAAGTGAAAAAGTTACTTCTTTCCAATTGTTTCATTTTTATTTGGTCAACTTAATTGTAATATTGCTGTTCGGTTTCGACGCTGTCATGGCGGCGCGTTGTTGCCAGCACGTTGCACCAATCACCGTCCTCGTTTGATTCAAAGATAAGACCAAGGTCCCGATTGGACAGATAGATATCTCATTTCTGTGAAAGCCATTGTGGATCCAACCTCGTGGCTTTATGGGTCCCTTGGTATTCAAATTAAATCGCACGTCTTTACGGCAGGGCGAAAGTGTAAATGATTATTACTATTATGGAATGTGGCGATTGAGATAATTATGTTTCATATAGCTGTTTGTTCGTGTTTCATAGCTGTTTGTTCGTGTTGTGCTTATTGATTTTAAATCATACATTCCTAGTATTTGTGGAAATTTAGAGAAAAATGATACGTATGAAAGTCGATACAGCCTGGAAATGATGCATTAGTGTTCGGTATCGAAGAGTATACATTGCACTCACTGGACCATGTATTACAGATCACATAGTTTCAATGCTTTTATGAGCTTCTTAGCTTAAAACTCCTGTCTGTCTACACGTGTAATGTTTAAAACTGTACATCTTGTATACCTGGAGGAGTTTTTCTGAAAATTCAGGGCATGAAAACCAGTAAGAATTTGTGACTATTTTGTTTTTGAGAACTTCCATGGTTTTGGAGTACAGTGTCATGGATTCCTTGTAATTCACCAGCACCGCGAGTGGCTTAATCCAGCCTACCGTTCCAATCGCTCATCACACGGCGTAAAGCTCTCACGACCACAAGGGGTTGCATTATTTACCCCCCGTATAACAACGCCAACTCAATAGAGCTGTGCTTTAGGTCGTCTCACTACCTACAATCGATATATAATTAGATGTTAAACAACTTGAGTTTTTTTTTTAAATAGACACTTTCTACACATCCCTCTCGTGTGGACAGAATGAAATTTACCCCTATCTTCAGTAGCTTATAATCAATTGGTTTTCCTCTTTGTATTGCCTTTTGTGTGTTTAAACGCTTAGGCTGATACTTTGGGGGGCTGCCATGAAGGATAGTGAGTGTACTGCCTATACACTCGTCGTGGGTACCGCTATTTAGACCACACGGCCCTACGGGCAAGGGTATCCGCATGTACTAGTTTCTCGCCTACGGTGGGCTTTGGGTTGAAGACTAGACAACCTCCAAGGATCACGCCACAACTTAATGTAATCTTTGCTCGGAGTAGTTTTTTGACCGATCAAGAATCGAACACATTATTGACACGAAAATCTTCTCGAAATGGTACATTACGAGCAGAAGAAAGACGCGCCTGTGAAAGACAAACTTTTTATGTTAATTTTCCCTGTAATTATAACACCTTAAAAACCCCAGTTTGACATTGTTAAAATCGGACTTTTTTTTTCCTTTTCATGGAAACAATTGGTTTGAATTAAAAGTTGGATCAACTCCCTTTGCCATCCCTTCCAAGCTTTTTAACTTCGTGAAACTATACATCATCATAATGGAAACATTATTCGTAGAGGTATATTTTTTTTCAAGTGGGATTAATCATGTCCCTGGATGATTTTCTGATGAATTCACTGACATCATTGTTAACAATTACGGAAAAGTATCATGATTTAATTACAATATAAATAATTAAAGGACTATCCGATCGCTTGAATTGTGATTTTGGACATACTTGAGGAAGACCCAGGCTAACAATCAGCCAAAAGATTTAAACAAGTTGATAAGTTTAGATTTTTCCTTTTGAAAAACACAAAATAACCCATAGGGTCTATAATTTATATTTCCATGGCATATTGGTGTATACATGCATCCGTGGCTAATAAGTACAACCCAACCTTTACGAGTGAAACAAAGCGCCCTCAGAGTGTGATTCTTAATTCTCCACTTGGTTAACATTACAAAAAAACGTTTACGTGCCGTTTTTATACCATTGCCAATCATTGGACCACTCACCATGCAGTTAAGCCCAACGCGCACTAGTACGCTCGACTCGAGACACCACCAAAGCCGAATATTTGCTCGTCAATTGTCCCGCTTTCATCCATCTCATCCAAATTTACAAACACAACATCTCAATTTTCCCATCTACATCATCATCACAATCATCAAAAGTGTGTCTATCTCACGCATTGACATGCCCGTTATCACTACCAGAGTGCATCACGCACGATAGATAGCAATTTCAATTTGCCGCTCCACACTACCAATTACCAAAGAGAGCGCGCGCTAATACCAATACTCCCGAGATGGTTCCCGACCCTCCTCTGGGGTCCAATTCCACGAGAAATTGGCCGGTAAACCAGTTAACGAATCTACGGAGACCAATCGCACGCGTTACGTCATTATGGTTTCTGTTGGCGAGACGCGGGCTTGAGTGGCTCTCGGAATCCACGGTCCGTGTTGTGGTAATTATCCCCAGCGCGACCGGCTGGAATCACCGGGGGACGAACGGCACGAGTCGCCCGGTCGCTTTGGGATGATCGTCGCGGTCGACTTAATCGTCAGCGAATGAATCGGAAGCTGGAAAAAAAATCGGCAAATGCAACAATCACAAGATCTGTCAAGGTCACGTCGGAGATACAACGTGAAGATGTTTAAATAATACATTTCCAACTCTTTAAACGGAACATTGATTCCTGAATTGTGTTACTTTGTCTTATACTTATTATTGGCTTGGGTTAATTCACCCATCTTCGTTATTTGAAAGCTTGCTACTGTAAAACAAAAAAAAACCAAAAAACTTGCTACTGCAAAAAAGAAAGAAGCAAGAACGTTAGAACGTTCTTAAACCATATCTTTCATTCTAATTCTGCATACAGTCCACGCACGACACAATAATGGTGCTGATTGCTTTCTTAAATAAATGCTATTAATTTGCTTAACTTTAATAAACTAATCCGAGACCCTCTTAACAGTTAACAAACGTGTAATATTATTCACAATATGGGCACTACAATTGAAGCTCGATGTGGTGAACTCATCAAAGCGAATCAACAGAATTTGTCCGCAGAAAATGCCGTTAATTACTTGATTTCCAAAGTAAATATCCACAAAATATCTGCACTGTGACGTAGGGCACGTACGTATGCGAGCCACGTAGAGGTCAAAATGGCCGGCTCGCTACAGCGATATCCTCGCGGTCTTTTGCTATCGACGTTCACCGGAGTCAGCCCAGCAATACGGATATCAAGGCATGATGCTACTGTTCCATTAAACTTTAATGCGTCTGTAACGGCTAACAAGGAGCAGTGAACTACGAACGTGGAATTTGCTGACAATCAGATAATTAGAAAATGAACCTTTTTGTTATTCAAGAAAGGTTTTCATTTAAACAAAAATGATTGGCGCATGCGCATCACAGTTATATATTCCGTTTGCACATTATCAGATTTTGTATCAAATGAAAACACAATGTTACAGTAACAGTCATAGTGATTAAATACGTTCCGTATTGAATAAATATGAACCTCATGAAGTTTTAAAATGATGGATTTTGCGGCATGGTTTATTTCCCAGCCTCTTCTCCAACACACAAAACAAATTCCGTGCAGAGAACTGTGTCTTACGTTTCTGAAGGCAAGTCGACGGCAGTATCATATTGTGATGAGTGAAAATGAATCTCTCTTAAAACTGTGTTTGGACGGAAAACACCGCTGTTGTATCAGTGTTGTTGATGTTGCGACAGTGGTTATTAAAATTTCCTGTAGCAATTAAACAGTCAGGGGTAGCAAGTATTTACAGAACAATACCAGGGCACGCAATCTGCCTGGGGGGCTAGCTATAGGCATATGGGGCCCAATATCAAGATTCTTTTCACACGTTTATGTTTTTCTTTGAAACCGTTTTCATTCTTAACTGAGGTGTGCATGTGGTGCAGTTAAAGAGATTTGAAATACAAATTCTATGCGCGGACAAAATATGTTAGGAAACGTGCTTTGTATCTGAAACTTAACAAAATGGGGTTAGGGGATGACTCAGTCGTCAAATGACGACAAAAGTTTTTGGTAAGGAAGTCGAAATTGGTTGAACTGCCCTACTCTAGAACGTAAAATCATCAAAGTTACAAAATACCTATAACTTGAATATTAAAAATGAGAAGTTATTATTTTTTGGTGTTGCCACTTTTAAACCAAAGATCAATCCAATTTATTTCCCGTCAAACTATTGTCTAGCTTGAGACCATCGCAAATTGCGTACACCTGTGTAAAATTCAATTAATTATCATGTGCATCAGGTGCACACATAGACAAAGCTCTACAGGTACTTTCTTTCATCCTGATTGGTCGAATGTTCTCTTTCTTACGTCACATCTGATTGGCTATTCCACATTGAATTATTTAATGACATTTCTAGAAAGGTATTATTGAGACCGACATTATCAATTGACTTTGTGCGTCTGGTAAGTTTATAATTTAGTACAATAGCAGTTATCTGGTCTAAATAAAGACAATTTTACTAAAATTCTGAGTGATTTTTTAATCCAATCACCGCGGCTGTACGTTAATACTTTGTACTCAAAAAGCAGAGTACTTGGGACACCAACTTCAACTCGCTTTTGTCGCTCTTAAAAGCTGACTTTCGTTTGAGGTGAAGTGTTACAAACTTGCAAGTATCGTAATTCTACATCTTTGGAAACCTATTTAGTCTGTAATTTTCAGATAATAACGGTATTAGGGGCACAAATGAAGGATAATTTATGTTGGACTTGGTTCGTGGAGTTTGTTGTGGCCGCTTATGTGTGGCGACGTGTGCCCATTCATATGGCTTTCACATCGGATACGTCTAGGCTCCAGATTAAGGCCTAGCTGTCACAGTGTCAGACTTTCACGAACATTATGCACAAAGGAAGGAATGCTTTCTGCATTCAGATGCCTTATTATTTAAATGTTGTTAACGTAGAAAGTGTCAGGGAGTCAAAATAATAGAATGAAAATGCATGTCTCACAAAATTGAGACATTTTGTGCCTTGAATTTCTTTGAACATGCATTTAAACACTAAAGAGTAAAGTAAAGACGTCAAATTTTGCTTAAAAGTGAAGCCTTGAAAGTTGAACTACATTTTGAGCAAATGATCAACAGTAAGAGCTATCAATGCATAAATTTGATTTGGTTTTTTTTAAACTTGATTTTTGAAATCAAATACATTAGAAGCACTTAAAATGAATACACATTAAATGCATGACATGCTCCTTGCCATTAGCACAGCCCATAATGCCTCATGAATAAATTAATACAAAAGCTTCATCAAAAAGCTTTATATTTGCGACTTTTGGAATATCTAAGGATCAGTGTTGAGATTTATTCATCCATTACTAGTGAACTATGCTTAGGTGTAGAGAGCTTTTCTTTGGGATATTGCTTCATTTGCCTGGAATGGTTTTTAGTCAGGGCGAGCCTTTTTTATATAAATTATGCACCTTTGTTTCCTAACAAATGTGCTGAATTTCCAACTTGATGTCCATTGAATTTTTTGAAGTAAATGAGAATTCTCTTGTAAGGCTGGTCAACTGTGTTTAGATTTAAGATTGAGATTACTAGTGCTAACAAGTGAAATAAATTGGTACAAGTGTTTGGGGATAAATTTTACAGAGCGTCTTGGCACAAAATTTTCCAAAGCACTAAAAAAAAATGTCTAATAGCAAAACAAGGTACCAGCCAATATTTCATGTGATAAAACTTGCTTGGGATAGTTGGTCTTTAATGCTTTATATAAATTTGTTGAGAAATAATTACTGCAGAATTATGCATGTGATTAAAACTGTTTCAGTGTTTTTCTCTGAATTTAATGTTTGGACTTATTTTTGTACTTGAGCACCCACATACAGATATTGCACTAAGAATATGAGACATATTTGGTTATTATTTTCTGTCTCCAACCCTACTTTTCAATCCTGATCTAATCTCTCATTAAACATGTGGCATTTCACAAACTGCGCTTATTAAATCAGTGACATTTCAATTCGAATTTCAAGACTTCATAAATTTTGTATCGGTAGTTGACACAGATAAATTGCCTCATTTTATTTTAATCCATTTTGAACTGTCAACAACTATTCAGGACAAAGTTTTAACCTTTTTGTAATCTGTTTTTTTTTTAAATCTGTATACGTCAAAGACATTTTAGCACGCACTTTTTTATAAACAAGGATTCTGAGATGGAACTGAATCAAGATTCTTAATTTAAAAAGAAAAATTTTTTTCAATATTTTTATTCAACTGTAAGTAAATTTGTTATCATGGATGGAATTGTTCCCAAATACAAGTATGAAATGTTATATAAAGTTGCATTTGGGAACATTGACACTGAACTGCATACACTAGAAACATTGCAGTGCTGTAACTGTAAGTGTAAGATATCACGGTCTGGTTTCCGCGCTGCACGCATGGTGGGATGCACATTCATGATGGATTAAAGGTCTCATGGATCTGACTGATCCCCTAGCTCTAGACCCTATATAGCGCTCGGCATGTGAGGTTTTCCACCGGAGTTACTTGACCCGCACACAGTCTGGCGACCCTAAGACGTAAGATCAGAGAGATCTTGCGGTACAGAAAGGAGCATTTACCTATGGTGGGGTGTTCCTTGTGGTTGAAACATATGAGCAATGCGTGACTAGAAATTGGCCTAAGCAAATGAGATGAGGCTTCAGGGAAAATATTACACTTGTTTTGGTTCTTGTAGCTGTTGATCACTGAACTGCTTTCATTTTTATGTATTCACCATAAGATTGTAATATGGCTGTATTCCTACATGCACATATCCCATATTATGTGTTAGTCAGTGAAATATTGATGTATCATGTAATATTAATGGTCTCTCTATTAGTATTACTGCATACTATTACCAAGATAATTTAAACAAATACCGGTAGCTCTAGGCCTATATTTGTCTTTTTATTTCACCAAGACACACATTCC